GAGTCACGACTAAACAAGGGGAGTCAGAGTTTCAGGTTCATGCAGCTAAAACCTGGAACAGTCTGAACATGTGAGACAGACTCTTCTGTGACGCTGTTTAAATCCAGACTCAAAACATTTCTGTTTAACTGTGCAAATAACTGAAAGGTTTTCATTCCGCACTCTTCTCTCCAATTTATGTCTCTCTTTAAAGAGAGACAGAAATTGGAGAGAAGAGTTAAATTATGTTTTGATTTGTTTTTATTATGATTTTAATGTATTTCTTATTCTGTAAAGCACTTTGAATTACTTTGTGTACGAATTGTGCTGTACAAATAAACTTGCCTTGCCTATGACGTACGGAAGCCGAGAGGGGTTACAACAAATGCAAACGCCGCAACAAATACAAATGCGACAACACAACAAAAAGCCACAACACACCAAAAAAAGCCACAATGGAAGTGACGGCGGGACTCTATTTTCCGACAGACCGATCAAGCAGCAAGTGAAGAAGAAGAACGTGAAACGAATAATGATAAAACAATAAATTACTTTACTTACGTATCCAACTTCTCCGTTCCTTTACTTTTCACGTTGTAGTTCTTCTTCACTTGTCGCTTGATCAGTCCGTCGGAAAATAGAGTCCCGCAGTCACTTCCGTTGTGGCTTTTTGATGTGTTGCGGCTTTTGCGTTGTGGCGTTTGCATTAAAATAGTGTCATTTCCTTTTTTTGGTGTGTTGTGTCTTTTTTTGGTGTGTTGTGGCTTTTTGTTGTGTTGTCGCATTTGTATTTGTCACGGCGTTTGCGTTTGTTGTGACCCCTCTCGGCTTCCGTAATGACGGGCATAGACAGAAGACAAATAAACCAGAGATAATGCAGAATTCCACTGTTGTTCTGTAACCACAATATTGAGGCTCTCCTCCCAAGCATTTTTAACTGCATTAGAATACGTTAACGTTTCTGACTGAATTAACCTGTACAAAACTGAGATATATCATACAACTTTTTAACATAATCCCGGACCTGAAAATAACGAAAAAGATGATGGTTCGGGAGGAGATATTTCACAGACAGGTGTTTATTTATTTATTTCAGTCATAAAGTATAAAAAGACCAACAGTGTCACAACATCAAACATACAAGAAATGAATGAAAAGGAGCAGAAAGAAAAGTCATCTTTTGTTATCTGCCCCTTCTCCCTTTTCAAGACAAAACATCAACATCGATAGTTACTTTAAAACATTTCAGATCAGTACATTTCACTTCAGTCACAATTATTAATCAGCTGCAAACAGAAATCTTCACTTTTACGCACAACAACTTACTTTCCTTCATACATACACACTGCACTGGATTTGATGTGTTTCCCCATATGGAAAAGGTACAAACAAATCATGCACCGTTTGAACATGTTTTATCTGAATCTTAAAAGATTTGTATATGACAGTGAAAACTGTTACAAGATCTTTGGTAAATATGTGCAGCATGAAACATATAAAACTTTGTAAACCTGCAAGAGCTGAATATGACACTAATCCCACACACAATCTCCTCACAAGTGTTGGACAAAGATCATTTTTACCACAGAATCACAGAAAAACAAGTGAAATGATGATTGTTTCCTTAAACTTGATTGATGTGTTGTGTGTGTATGAGAGTGAGAAAGAAAATGATCACAGTGTGTGTGTGTTTATATGTGTGTGTGTGTGTGTCTGTGTGTGTGTGTGTGTGTGTGTGTCTGTGTGTGTGTGCGTGTGTGTGTTGAGCAGCATGGGGGTAAACACAGTAATACAAATATTACAAATATTACAACCTTAAAACACATAAGACACACACTCTTCCACTGATGTCACAGTGAACAAACATCAGGCTGTAAAAAGATTTTTACTCTGCAAAATCCTGTAGCTCCTTTCCTCGAGGAGCCATTTACTTGTGGGATACCAGGATACTTGTAACTGTCCTCAACATCTGCTGTAGTTCTCACCACCAGTAACAGTTGGGTAATTTAACAGGTGAGTCACTGGACTTTCACATGGGGGACCTGGGTTCCCCTTCTGACTCAGATTTTGTTTTGTTTTTTTAACTGCAACATATAATTAAAGAATACAAACATTACATGGAACATACAAAGAAAATGTAGTTGATCATGCACATTACCTGTAAATGTCATGCAAAAGGTTCACTTTATCTTTACTAGTTTTTCATAATATAGTTGTAAGAGAAAAATTCCAAATTAGCCACTTTCAGGAGTAAACCACATGACACATATTAACCTTATATAAAGATTTACTACAAAGACAGTGATAAATTCTTCTATATTTTTTCCAGTTTTTTTCCATATGGGTTTAAATGCTGTTATTGTACACGATCTTTTGATTTCTTTATCAAGACTCTTCCATAAGTGAACTGATTTCAAGGCAATACTTCACTCCATAACCTTGGTTCTGAATCTTTTTTTTTTTTTAAACATGTAGGTTCCTTTTAAATTGTAGTGGTTTGTTCTCATCTCAAACAGTCTTTGAACATTTACAGGTAACACATTGCACTTTGCCTTATACATGACTTTGAGAAGACTTACAGTACAGTTTTTCGCCATTGGTTTGGCTCATTTCTTGAAACAGAAATGACATTCTTAAAATTATAAGATAATTTGGCCAAACAGTCTGATAGTTCTGCACAACAACACAACATATAGAGAGTCATCAAAATGAGAAAGATCCTTCTCAGTTGCTTTGACTCTTTTGCATTCACTTAGTGCTTTTGTCAAAATGACCTGGATGGTTCAGCACAACACCATGGATCAGCTGCAGAAGCTCAGATCTCTCTCAAAACAGTTTACCCATGTGTCAAAACTACATTCCTCTCCAAAATGCATCATCCTTTTGGCCTTGTGTCACTGCATGTCAAAATGCTTAGATGTTTTGTCACTATGGCACAGGTCTAACTAACATAATACAATTCTGGATAAAACTGGAAAAAAAAAAAAGGATTTCACAGTAAGAGCCTCCAAAGTTTGACGTCATACACACTGCACTCTCACACACACACTGCACTCACACCACCAAGGAAACTGTAACCATTTTATTCACACACATAAAATCACTTCCACACATCAGAGTATATATAAAGAAAATGTATACAGTATGTATGATGTTCCTGGTATCATGTTCCTGACTAATTTTAATTTTGACAATTGAATAGACTATTCTGAATATGAAGACTTAGACAATGAAATCATGATGACATGTTTTGGAGAGAACAATCATTAGACTGAGAATCAACTCATTAGTTTAGCAAGATCGATTTATTTGGAAAATGTGCTAAACGTGGGCTCACTGTGCAAACTGTAAGCGACTTGTACAGAACCATGTGCAAAGATGCACTGAGACACTTGACACATGCACCAAGACATTTAAAATTTGATGAAATCAGTGAGAAATGTGATTCTGTTGTAAACGACTGCAAGGTGGTTTGGAGTTTGTACATGTTTTTTGAGAATGTCATTTCTGTGAACCAGTGGAGAAAAACTGTAAATTGTAGTGGTTTATTCTCATCTCAAACAGTCTCTGAATATTTACAGGTAACACACTGCACTTTACCTTATACATGACTTTGAGGAGACTTAAGTCAACTATATTCTGCATTTTCAACACTTTAAGTTGAACACATAATGGGTTGGGTGGCTAAGCTTCACTGGGAAACTCCATCCATCCTTTTTCGTCTGCTTATCCGGGGCCGGGTTGTGGGGGCAGCAGCCTAAGCAGGGATTCCCAGACTTCCCTCACCCCAGACACTTCTGAACTAAAAGCAGTGCCTGCATCTCCACAAACATGATAGTGTTAATAATATTTCATACTTACGGGGAGGCAGATAAAATGAAAATTGTCGAAATCCAGATATTTGTTATACTATAGTATTATATGTCTAATATATAATATGTAATACAGTGAGTTCATGGTTCTAGTCCACTGGTGGACAAATTACAGCCCAGGGGCCATATGCAGCCCTTTAAACCTTTAAATCCGGCCCGCCGAACTTGAATAAATTATAATAATAAACCTTGTTGATGTTTTAGTTTTCCTGCATTTCCGGCGTTTCCCAGTATAAATACATTGAGATGCAGTGTATTATGTTGGCCGCAATGCTTTATGGGAAAGTGACAGGAGTCATTTTTCGGGCGGCGTTTTCGGACCACGAGTGAAGTAGAGGTAGTGTTCAAGACATAAGGCTGCACTGTTTCCATTTTGAGTGAGTTCAAAGTAAAGTCAAAAGAAAAAATTACAGTTGCTGTGTTACAAATCTTAACACATGGTATGTCTTACAGGTCTGGTTGTACTGCATGTGAGTGTTTGCGTGTGTAATCTTGTGGCTTGGGCTCTGTTTCTCAATGAGAACTAAGCAGTCAGGACTCATGCTCGCTTGTGGTGTGCAGTGGAGTAGACCTCGTTCATTTTGTATGTATTCTACGTGTTATACGCGTCAGAAGTTGTAGTGTGTAGTGCAGAATACGATCTACATGAACGTAAATACAAGTGCAATGGATCCGGGCTCTTAACACGTTATGTCCTGTCTCCTATTCGGCCCTTCAGTCAAATTTTATAACCCTAAGTGGCCCCCGAGCCAAAAAGTTTGCCCACCCCTGGTCTAGTCAGTGATAGAAATGATCAGCTACAACATTTGTGCATTTAATGTTGTCAGTAATACAATCTGACTTTTGCACTGCATAGTTAAGTACGATATCACATTACACACTGGAATATGAAAACCACCAGTGCTCATGCAATCACGCAGAAAACTACCTGCCATTGTTTTAAAATGCCTAAGTGTCACGTAACCGTCTCTCAGCCGTATTCCATGAAAGGCTAAGGTTAAGAATGCTAATTCTAAGAAGCATTCTTACAGTTGTGGGTAATTAATCCACTGTCAAATGGGCGTTCCTTCCTCCATAATACTACCTTGCTTTGTCAAATATATATAAAAGAAGTGGTTCCTCTTCACTAAGAAGCAAAGAGCAGCAAACTCTACACTCTACACACTCTACGACCCAGAGCAGCTGCTGGAAACTCTCCAGGCAAAATGAAGAAACTGGTAAACACTTCCTCTTTATCTTTCTGACATAGAAATATATGTTTTACTCTTCTCTAATTCATCTGTTTTATTTTTACTTTTAGTTTTTAATCCTCCTGTTGGCTGGACTGGCCTGTGGTAAGTGAAATTTAATGTTATCAGTTTAGTTTTCAGTTTGGGTAGTTTTATTGTTTACTAAAATCAGTCCTTGTTCGGCCGCATCCAGAAACTTACCAGAGGGTGATCCGGAGCGCCGAAGATGACCAGGGCGACCAAGGAGGGAACCAAGATGACAATAATGATGAAGAGAGGGAAAACGAAGAAGATGGAAACGACGAAGACAAAGGCAACGATGGCGGTGACGACGACGACGAAGACGACGATGGCGAAGACAAAGACAATGATGACGAAGACGATGATGATGATGAAGACGACGATGGCGAAGACAAAGACAATGATGACGAAGACGACGATGATGATGAAGACGATGATGGCGAAGACAAAGACAATGATGACGAAGACGATGATGATGATGAAGACGACGATGGCGAAGACAAAGACAATGATGACGAAGACGATGATGATGATGAAGACGATGATGGCGGCGACGACGATCACGATGACAAAGACGATGATGGCGGCGACGACGATCACGATGACGAAGACGATGGACACCATGGTGATGGGAGCAGCGACAGCACCTCTGACAGCGGCACAGGTAGCTCCAGCAGAGATAGCGAGCATGGCAGCGACAGCAGTGACGATAGCAGCGAAGAGGGGTCGGACAGCGACAGCAGCGAGGAAGAGTGCTATCATGACACGGACGACGACTCGAGCGAAAGTAACCAGAAGAACGATGAAGAAGATGGCAACAACGGGAAAGACAACCAAGGCAAAAGTTACGGGCCCAATGAGAATTACGACATCAATGAAGAGGAGCACGACAACACCGAGGAGGCACCTGCTGACAGTTCGAGCGATGGAACCAAAGACGAAGAGGGGGATGCCGAGGGGGACACCAACGGGGGATGGAACCAAAGACGAAGAGGGGATGCCGAGGGGACACCAACGGCGGCTCTGATCACGGTTCGCGCGATGGAACCAAAGACGAAGAGGGGGATGCCGAGGGGGACACCAACGGCGGCTCTGATCACGGTTCGCGCGATGGAACCAAAGACGAAGAGGGGGATGCCGAGGGGGACACCAACGGCGGCTCTGATCACGGTTCGCGCGATGGAACCAAAGACGAAGAGGGGGATGCCGAGGGGGACACCAACGGCGGCTCTGATCACGGTTCGAGCGATGGAACCAAAGACGAAGAGGGGGATGCCGAGAGCAACTCAGGTGGCAGTGCGAAGAACCCTGAACCTCCAAGTGACAATGGCAGCGCAAAACCAGCAAAAGGGTCAAGTAAGGCTGGAAAATAAGACATTCAAATGAAACCACATATTTGCAATATAAACATGTGCGCTGTCAGTATATAGTGGGTTCTGTATGGATTAAGCCATTTAATGTTTTTCATTTACATACAAGCTAAATCAAAGATATTACAATGTAGTAGCATATATTCTGTTGCCAATTTAAACATATAAATCAATATTTCAAAATAAAATGGTCTTGTGTGTTCACATTTGAGGCCTGTTCGCTCATGCACCAGGGAGTGTCTTATATTTTTTTCTTGAAATCAGCATAAAACACATGGAAGTGTAGAGGAATGACAGTGGCTCTAGTTCTCGCAGCCTTGCCTTGTATAAATGCCTGTACATGATTGGTTGGTGGTTAGAGGCGCTGATGATGCAGAATGGCAGGTTCTTTAGGTGTCATGACGAGTGCAATGTAACAGATGCCAAGAACTAATACTTCCCCAAGTGTCAGTTTACAACTTACAATGTACAGGTTAGTAGTCTACAAGTGTTGACAAGTTAGAACCATTGGATTAGAGGAAAAGATAGTGAACCTTTCTTCTCTTCTCTAACATATTAAAATATGATATTACATATTACAAATAAAAAGAATACTATACTCTAAACCAGGCAGGTCTGAAGTACGGCCCAGGGCCAAATGCAGCTCTCACACTATTAGTACATGGTCCTCAGGTAAATGAGCTAAAGTTACCATGAGCAGATCTTTTTACTGAAAATTAAAAATATGTCATATCTGCAATATCAAATCATAGGTTGATGCCTGAATAGAATTCTGGTGGTTAAATTTAATTTCATTTAATAATTGGATTATCTAGCGCCTTTCAAGACACCCAAAGTGCTTTACAGAGCATTATCCACACACACACTCTGTGGTGGTAAGGTCCAGACTGACTGTGCCATCAGCTGTAAAACCACCACCAATACTCATGCACGCACACACACACACACACACACACACACACACACACACACACACACACACACACACACACACACACACACACACATATACACACCCCCCCCCATACACACACACACACATATATATACACATACACCCCCCCATACACACACACACATATATACACATACACCCCCCCCACACACACACACATATACACTACATACACCCCCCCATACACACACACACACACACACATATACACATACACCCCCCCATACACACACACACACACATATACACATTACACCCCCCATACACACACACACACACATATACACATACCCCCCCCATACACACACACACACACATATACACATACACCCCCCCCATACACACACACCACACACATACACATACACCCCCCCCCCCCATACACACACACACATATACACATACACCCCCCCCATACACACACACACACATATACACTTATTACCCCCCCCATACACACACACACACACACATATACACTTACACCCCCCCCATACACACACACACACACACACACATATACACTTACACCCCCCCCATACACACACACACGCACACACAGACACACTCACACACGCACACACAGACACACTCACACACGCACGTACACACACACACACTCATATTAGGCAAGGTGGGTGACGTGTCAAAGGACACAACAACAGTTTTCGTTGCTGCTAACCAAATACTTTTTTTTATCCATTTTTAACCTCTTACTCATGATCACTAGTTAGAAAAGTCCTGGACAAAAATACATGATCACTTACTGAATAAATACTCAGAACCCTTCATTTCTCCATGGAGAAGTTGTTTTGTCAGGATGGTCCACAAAATGACATAACTTGTTTTTAGAACAAGTAGATAAGTCCTTCAACTCAGTATGTGTTGATATGTACTCGAGTAGCCAACCTGCTTTGGAAAACATGGCCACAAACTGCTGTTTCTTGTTTATCAATGTACAGCACTAATTTTATAATTATATTTCACAATGTGGACTTCATTACATAAAAATATGTGAAAACACACTGAAGGGGTGCAGAGCAGTGCAACAAACGCAGAAACAGTTTCATGAAGCCGAAGATGTTAAAAACAGGTAGTGGGGACTTCAACTGCAACAGCATAAGAGAAGAGCTCCGTCCAATAAATGTAAATAACCTAACAAAACCTTTATTTTTGGCATAACAACCGAAACTAAACATGGCATCATCTTTAAGAAGCAAAAATACCAATAAACAAGAAGCAACGCAAGAAAGAAATGACAACTTAAAGCAGTTAACCATGCCGCAGGCCATGTCCAGTAACGCTGACGCTAACCTAGCTAGCCCAGCTAACCCAGAAAGCAGAATTCTAGGCCGAACTGGAGAAACTACGGCAAGAAAACAAGGAAGGACATGCCCAAACCATGCAGTCACTGACCAATCTGGAGAACTCACTGGAAGAAATGAAAAATGACATGAAAAAACTTGAAAAGAGAACCGCAGAAGTAGAAGACCGCGTTAGCAACGCCGAAGATACGGCGCAGAGACACGAGAGAGCGATCAGATATTTGCTGCACAGGGAGATTGATTTGACAGCCAGATACCAGGACCTGCAAAACCGCTCACGACGCAACAATTTAAGAATATATGGAGTGCCCGAGGACAGTGAAGGCAAGGACGTGATAGCCTTTGTGAAGGATCTTATTCAAACAACGCTACAGCTACCCACAGAAGCTAACATGCAAATCGAGCGAGCCCATAGAGCGGTCACGGCTAAACCTAAGAGCCACTTCGCACCCCGCTCCATTATCGTAAAGTTTGTGGACTATTCAGTTAAAGACTCGATATTGAGACTGGCTTGGAGCCAGAGACAGGTGCTCTACAAAGACAGCCCTATTTTCTTTGACCATGACTATTCCCCAGAACTTCAGAAGAGGCGTTCTCAGGTACGAGAAGCTATTAAACAGCTGAAGCAGAAAAACATTAGAGCCAAATGCATCTATCCAGCGCAACTCAAAGTTTTGTCAGAGGGAGGAGATAAGACCTACTCATCGCTTACAGAGGCTGCGCCGACGCTGCGGGAGCTTGGAATTCTGGTACGCCTGGACGAGAGAGAGAAGATGGAACACGAACTCGCCCGCTATCGATGGAGCACGGCGGGACGCACGAGAAACATGGCTAAACTATCCAACGCGGATGCTCATTCGTTCTTTGACAGCGATGCGTAACAGCTGAAGGTTGATTATGCCTACTGTGTGGTTTGATTTCTACATTAATAATGTTAGGTTAACAACATGATACGTGAAGATATCAGACGGAATCTGAAGACTATTGTGAGCAATTGAGCCGCATTCGGAGCTACAGCACCCGCTCTGCGAGATGGATGCATGCAGCCGCGCACAGGCTGTGCCCACCAAGGAGGAGAAGTCACCACCCCCCGGTGGGACCATGGGACCGGTAACTTGTAAAAGTGTATTTCAGTTCCAATGGGTTATGTGGAAGGTTTTACCATTTGTTATGTTCTGTATTATTTCATGTTCGTTCAATGTCGGGATTGGCTCTGGGTTACTGCATTATGCTACTTTATACAGACAAGTAAAGTTTTTATTTTATTTTTCAGTCATATACAGAACAGGGAGGTTGAAACAATACAAACAGGTAATGCTTATTACATGAGTAACCTAAACTGTATCAGCTACAATGTTAAGGGCATAAGCACTTCAATAAAAAGGAAAGGCATTCTTAAATTAAAAAATGGCAAATCACCGGGGGTAGATGGGCTATCAGGGGAATATTATAAAGCTTTTGTCAGTGTTTTGGTACCCGTGTTAAGTAAAGTATATAATTACCTTGGCTGAGGGAGACCCGCCAGGGTCATGGTCAGAGGCAGTGATTAGTGTAATACCAAAAGAGAATAAGGACCTAACATTGTGTGCCTCTTACCGCCCAATAAGCCTCCTGTGTGTAGATATGAAAATTCTTACCTCAATTATTGCAAATAGAATCCAGAAATGTATTAAGACTCTTATAAAGCCTGATCAGACAGGTTTCATAGCTAATAGACAAGGATGTGACAATGTTAGGAGAGCCTTAAACTTACAAGTGATAGCAATGAGAAGGAACACCCTGGCAATGCTTCTTGGCTTAGACGCCGAGAAAGCATTTGACCGGGTGGACTGGTCATTTTTGGAACATTCCCTTAAACATATGGGTTTTAATGAAAAATTTAATAAATGGTTAAAAATTTTCACCAGAGATCCCAAATCCAGAGTTCGAGTCAACGGCCACTGCTCAAACTTCTTTCCTCTTGGGCGCGGGACACGTCAGGGCGATGGGCTTTCTCCATGTCTGTTTGCTCTTAGCATTGAGCCGCTGGCAGAGCTCATTAGGATGGATCCTCGTATACAGGGTATAAGAGATGAGGCTAACATACAACACAAATTAGCACTTTTTGCTGATGACATTTTATTATTTCTGGAAAACCCGCTTACCTCCATCCCACCTCTGCTACAGCGACTCAGTGAATACAGTGCTGTATCTGGATATAAGGTTAATACAAGTAAATCAGAGGCAATGATGGTTGTTGGTGAATGGCCTACTGAATTAAATGATCTGGTTACATTTAAAAAATCAACCAGGGGATTTCGGTACCTTGGAATCAATCTCACACCTAAAATTTCACAACTATTTACTTGTAATTATGAAAAATTTATTAATGATGTTAAAAAAGACTTAAACAAATGGGATGCTCTACCTTTATCATTCCTGGGCAGAATAGAATCTATTAGAATGAATATTCTACCAAAATTCGTATTCTTATTTCAATCTCTCCCTACATCAGTACCACAATCTACATTTAAAACACTTGAAAAATTGATATCCAAATTTATCTGGCAAAATCGAAAACCAAGGATACGACTGAAAATATTAATGACAAAGAAAGAAAAAGGAGGGCTTGGACTCCCTGACTTAAAACTTCATTACTGGGCATCTCAACTTCGAATATTGTCATCTTGGGTGGTCAATGATCCCGAGATCTTATGGATTTCTATAGAACAGAACTCTATACCAGGATTGTTAATC